GACATCTTTTAATCAGAGAAATATTCAACGTTAATCGATGACATCACTTCCTCCTGCAGCTGCCTGGCTTCCTGGAGCTTGTGGTCGAGTATTACCGCCGCTGCCTCATCCAGATCTTCGGCATCCTGGAGGAGTACGAGGTTGGGACCCTGCTGGGATCCCAGCCCGCCCCCCTTCAGAAGGAGGTGCAGGAGTCTGACAGCCAATCAGAGGAGCCGAGGAGGTCAGAGGAGGAGGAGCTGATGCCACTGCTCAGAGCTTTAGACGCAGAGGAGGAGGAGGTGAAGGAGGAGAACCATGTGGTCAAAGAGGAGCTGGAGGTGAAGGAGGAGAAAGAGGAGGAGCCCCGTCCCCCGCAGGCCAGCAAGTACGACAGGCGGCCAATCAGGGTGGAGGAGACGGGGGAGGAGTGGGAGGAGGCAGAGCAGCGTTGGGCGCAGCTCGGACGACCCAACGGCTTCATCAGCGGCCTCCTGCACTGGAAGGCGGGAGGAGGAGACTCAACCGCTCACATCCTGACAGGAGCAGAGGGGGAGGGGCAGAAGGAGGCGGAGCCAGCTGGGGAGGAGACGCCGTCTGGAACAGAAGAAGGTAAAAAACCTGCAGGAGGAGAGAAGAGAATATAAATCCTTCAATAAAATCTGTTTTAGATATAAGCAGATAAAAGATGAAGATCCTCAAGTGATGTCACTCGAGTCACCTTGGGTTGAAAATGAAATATTAAAACTGTTTGTGATGCTGCAGGTTTGATGTAGTACCTGTGTTCCACCAGCAGGTGGCTCCATCTTTGTGTTTATATCTCCGGCCGTCTTTGTCTCTCCTCTGCAGGTTCCTCATCAGAGGTCAAAGTTCAGAGTCCCATCAGTCACCTGGAGGACGAGCCGCGCTGCTGGGACGAGGCGCCGCTGTCCACCGCCGAGTCGTGGCAGGACGCTCTGTCCAAACGCTGCGTCTGCATCTCCAACGTCGTGCGGGGCCTCTCCTTCGTCCCCGGGAACGACGCTGAATTATCTCGTCACCCCAGCCTGGTGTTGATCCTGGGCCGGCTGCTGCTGCTGCACCACCGCCACCCCCGCAGGAGACGCACGCCGCCCGGCTACCAGCGGGAGGAGGGGCGGGGGCGGGCCTGCAGCCGAGACGAGTGGTGGTGGGACTGCTTGGCGTCGCTGCGGGAGAACGCGCTGGTGACGCTGGCAAACATGGCGGGCCAGCTGGACCTGTCAGTGTTCCCCGAAGGCGTCATCCTGCCCGTGCTGGATGGCGTGCTGCACTGGATGGTCTGCCCGTCCGCCGAGGCTCAGGACCCGTTCTGCTCGGCGGGGGGCATGTCCTCGCTCTCGCCACAGAGGCTGGTCTCGAGT